GCATTTGGCCGCGCCAGGGTAATAGGCGTGGCCAAAAGTGTTAGTTAAAAAAAACGACAGTGTTAGATTTAAAATTATATTAAAAAATGGTTAAAATTAAAAAAAATCGCCACTGGCAGCTCTAGCTTTCGCTTCTGTTCGACGAGATGCACCGTGCACGCAGAGGATGAGGATCGGGAGAGTGTTTGAGGCTGTGTTTTGGCTCTCTGATGTGCCTGTAAGTGTGCCAGGGCCAATGGGCGTTATATAGAAAGAATGTGAGCAGTGAGCTGTTGCCATTTGTTTGACTGTACACGGGGAAGCTTCGTTTGAGACTTGTGCACGAGTTCTCGATTGCATCTGTACCTGGCCGTCTTGACGGGCACGTCGTGGCTCCGGTGATACATGTGGTTCTGGAACTCTTGATCTCGCTTTATCGATTTCGCCAGCATGGTCGTCACTCGTCAGTAATAACCTTGTTCGCCCCAGGAAACGTAGCAGCCACAGCGACCAGGATGCTAACCACATTTCTTTGAAAAGGAGTATTATTACTGTGATGTCCTTTTCGTGGACGAAGATGCATGCTCTTCCACGCCCTTTTATGCGACCAACTACCGCTTTATTACTCATATACTCGCCCCTACATAAAATACATAGGAACATTGGCTGACAGAAGATCTGTAACTGAAGTCAGCACATACGATTTGCTGAGCATGTTATCTAGCGTTGAAACAATGCTTGACCGACAATAGGAATATACGATACGAGCATGCAAGTACTGAAGTACCCAAGGTCCACTGAAGCAAAACACTGGCTTAATTAGTCGGAACTAGTCGCAGTGTCGCACTTTACTTTCAGTGCACTACTACTTCATTTCTGAAACGCATCCTTCATTAGTTCATTTATCAAGGATCTTATACTTTCATAAAGTGATGACCTGCAAGCTTCAGCACAGCTGGAGGCTTGAACTTTGTTACGTTGTACTCTCTCCGTCCACAAAAGAATACAATTATAGTTTCCGTACCGGTCAAATTAGCTTAAGTTTAACCAAGTTTAGATTAAATAATATTAACATTCATGTCTCTAAGTAAATTTATTATAAAAATATATTATATAACGAATCTAATGATACTTATTTTGTATCATAAATGTTAGTATTTTTTTATATAAATTTAGTCAAAGTTCAAATTATTTGACTTCTCGAAATTTGAGAATTACATTTTTTTTTGTGGTATGTTCTATCTATATTTTTTCCCTTATACGACACCGTACCAACAGCCTCGGTATCTCACTTTCTCAACAATATGCTTTTCCTATTCCTCCATTTTGAGCAAAGCTGATTGGCCCGCACAATTTACGGGTCATACAACATATGCAGTTTTAATTCTCATGTGATACTATAATTATTATGTGAAAACCTAATTTCTATGGCCAGGTTTTGCTTTAGTGGACCTTCCAAAAGTTTGTTCACAAATCTTAAAACATCTTAATCTCAAAAAAAAATCTTAAAACATCTTAAAAATTGATTAATCCCTTTCTTAATTCATTTTCCAAGGGTTCTGTTTGGGCCTGGCTCTGCACAAGCCCAACTCGTGGCCTGCCTATGACAGACACAAGTAGGGAGCACCGAACTACTGATCCGATTTATAAGCAGTGGGCTCGTTTGGCTGCTGGCCACCAAGCAGTCAAAATCAGTGTCCTGGATTGCTGCCTGGCCAGGCAAGTTTGTTTGGACAAGCAACCAAATAGGCCCGTAGTCGCTGCGCGCCTCATTTCATCACATGACTGCAAAATTCAGGTCTGGATCGACGGAGGCACATTTCCGTGTGGCCGAGCTGACGGAGGTGAACAGCTTCGAGGTGATGATGCTCCACCGGGCGTTGACGTTCGTATATCTATCCCCTGCGTTAAATTTGTCATCCTCATTCCATTCTGCCACGGTGCCGGTTGGCATTTGAGACTTGAGAGTAACTTGGATGAAAACCGGAGAAGAGAATTCAGAAGGAAGGATGCCTAACCTCTCGAGCGTGGAACGTACATAAATATACAAATATATTTCAAATATAACTATATTAGCTTAACTAATCTATGTCTAAATTGTAATTATTAGAATGGATTCAATTCCAAGGATCCAAACGGGAATAAATTTGAAAGATACCAATTCTATGCAAGGCCATTGGCTTCTCCTTAATATTCTGGGCATTTGGTAATCCAGGTCAGGGGACGTTCATTAGAATAGATAGATGTCGACACGTCCATGGAAACGGGTCATTCCAGCCTTCCATGGCAACGGGTCGACTACGTCGATGCTATGCTCAGTGGGTTGATGTTTCTGTCGCAGTTTGGCGTGATTGATGAGATGGCTGGAGGCGGCGACGCGGGACACCGCGCGCGCCTGGCCGCACGGGCAGAGCGGCCGACCCCGCGAGGGGTGTTGTGCCGGTGCGCTAGGTGGTGTGGTACTTGCTCTTCATACCTTACCAGCTAGAAACATAGAATATATGGACACGTTCGTTCGTTCGTTCGTTCTGCAAGGCTCACGTTCTTAATTTGGGAACATTTATATTTTTCACGTTACAAAATATCGTGTCAAATTCTTATTCCTGTTCTACGTTCCCATTCTCTTTTGGGGACATGGTTGTTAAGATTTAGACCCAGTGACCTGATGTACCAGATGACAAGTAGTAGCACTAAATCTTTTTTTTTTTGGTATGGTGTGGAGTTTCATCATAGGCATTTGCCAGACTTGTCTATAACATGACCTAGGCGTCTATGCATGCCCCGTGTCACATTGAAGAAAACACGAGGTTTAGACTATCTTTAAAATATTGAACTAGCAAAACGTGTCCTTGTGTTGCAACGATAAGTACATATTGTTGTGTGGTCAACATGATCACCACTTGCGAGCTGAAAACGTTATCTGTTGTAAAATGTTTTAGAATTGGACTCCATATTATTTTCGGATGTACGTACTATTCTAACTCATATGAATAAAGATCCGTGAGTCCGAAGTCACACACAAGACAAAGAAGGGCGCGAGGACATTTGTGTTAAGTTAAAAACATGGATGGAATAATCCATTTGCTCTTCAGTATTTAGATAAGACGAAAATTTGTCCTAAACTCATCATAAGCGTTCGTGGCGAGTCAACAGTAGTTTAGATCTCTTTGAATTCTGAAAGACCAAGGGAGCTAGGGTCAGTGATATTAGTATACTTATAAAACTGGTTAAAATTTAAAACACAACTGCTGGAATAGCTCAGTTGGTTAGAGCGTATGGCTGTTAACCATAAGGTCGGATATTATTTATTAATTTCCTTTCCCATTCTTCATTTTCAATTATCAAAATTTCCTTTTCCATTCTTCATTTTCAAATACCAATAAATTCTTCATTATTTCTAGTGGGTATTATTTATTAATTTCATTTTCCATTCTTCATGTTCAACTATCAAAATTTCCTTTTCCATTCTTCATTTTCAAATACCAATAAATTCTTTATTATTTCTATCAGGAGTAAGTCATTTTTCAATCTTAATTTTCGTCTTCATTTTCAACTATCAAAATTTCCTTTTCCATTCTTACCAAGAAATTCTTTATTATTCCTATCAGGAGTAAGTCATTTTTCAATCTTCATTTTCGTTTTTTTTTGTGGATTCAGAAAGAACTATCATAAGGACGCCAAATTTGAACAAAACACCAAATTCAAAACTTAAGAGAACATATGTTTCACATGGTAAATGGAACTTTCATTTTTGTAAAAAAGTGCATTCTAAAAGAACTATCAAAAGCAAGCCAAATCTGAACAAAACACCAAACTCAAAATTTAATAAAACATATACTTGGCATGGAAAGTGGGGATGTTTTCTAGTTGCAAACTCCTAGTGTTTTCCGTTATTTTCGTTCCTTCTATTTTCACCTTTTTCCCATGCATTCTAAAAAGAATTATCGGATGCAAGCCCAACTTGAACAAATACAAAACTTAAGAGGACGTATATTACATGGAAAGTGGGAATATTTTTATTTGCAATCTCCTAGTATTTTTTGAATTGTTTGACTATAATGAAGAACACCATCTAATCGATGGTCCTTTTTCCTAAGAAGTACCAAGTTGGGCTAGGCCGACAGTCTAGGCCGGTCCGCTTAGAGCAGCCTCAACGGCATTGGAGAGTGTCTTGTCACGCTAACTAGGCTCTGGTAAAAAAAGTGGGCATCCTATAGGCGATAGTGGTAGTTGTAGAAACCACAGTACCTTTAAGAGAGAGAAGACAGGGATCACAAAAATTGTGAGAAAGAAAGCAACGTGTTGGATAGGGGAGAGAGAGTTATTGGATAATGAGAGTTTGTTGTTGGATGGATATTAGCTTAAAGTTTTTCATTCCTATTTAGATCCACCATTTTTTAATGAAGCCACTACCATATGTCTGCATTTGTCATGCCATTTCAAGTAGTAAGCACCTTCTGTTCAGTCGACAAGGCGAGATGTGGCAATAGAGGTGTGATTTGGTCCAGGCTGTGCCTGCACTGCTTGGTCCTCTGATGTTTCGTGTTGCTTCGGGCCATGACCTCTAGACCCGCGGGGCGTGTTAGGCCTTTCCGGCACACCTTTGTGCCGTGTAACTCAAGCATGGCCCTTTAAAATATCTTTGCTTGTTTTTTATTTTCTCGTGACATAGAAAAAAATATATTTATATGTACCATTATCATGAAAATTTTCAACAATTTTCATTATCTATCCAAGAATTAAACAATAGATGGTACAGGAAATTATATTATAACAGTGTGCCCAAACGAATTCATAAATGACAGCACTACAAAAGAATTTGAATTCATTACATTTTTCACCAGCTATGACAACTCCAGAGACAACCATGGTTCTGAGAAGAACATAAAACATTCAGAAACGTACAGGGTCCCTGCCGGCCCAACAAGCATAAATGGGTTAGGAAACGTAATTTCCATATCATCTATGGGACTAAGGTTTTTTCTGTGTAACCCAGTGCAGGTAGCTGAGGTACCACATCCTCACTTAGGCTCGTGGTTCCTCGGCGTGCCGTTCTGCTCCAGCTGATAGAACGGTATCTGCTCACCCTGTTGCTGCTGCTTGTGCAGTTCCGCCATCTGGTTGTTCTGGCAACGGAGCTGCATTTGCTGGGATAGATTGCCGGACGAGCCTGTGTCGCCGAGTTTCAGGCGCTGGACTTCGCCTGTTAGAGCCTCGTTCAGCGCTGTTCATCAGTAAGACAGAAATTGTTTGTGGTCAGAACAAAATGGCTACATTTCTTGATAAACAAATTGCTTCCTAGTTCACATGTTTGATGTAAGCTGTATATGAAAGAACTAGTTGAAATGGTATTGCTACTGACAGTCTTAATAAAAAGGTAGTTGCTGCACTTGTATTATCCAAAGACGGCCGGCCTCTTGTGACAGGGGTAGTGGCCACCAGCATCGGTCCACGAACTAGGCAACGCGGTGTCAGTTTGCATTGCATTGACAAACACTTGGTTATTTATTAAGTATGTTATTGATACGAGAATCCAAAACAAGGCGATGTGGCCAATGCCTGACGAAGTCGCCGGGGAATTTGAGCGCATTCTGATTTTGTACAACATGCTGGCAACTAACAGCATCAGAGAACAAACGGTTCCCCTTAAAAAAACAAGCAATTGTAAGGCGAACTGGTAAGCGTATTATCGGCACTACATGACAGCGACTAACTGCCAATGCGCAGGCGCCAAATGCCGCATCCATGGCGATCACGTCCAGCACTACGATCCTACGAACACATTGGGAACTCAGAGCAAACGGCAACTGAACTGGAATTTTGAACGGAGTACTCATTCTGGGTTTCCATCAACCATGCAACTGCTACTGCTATCCAAGAAACCGGAATTGGTTCTCACCGTCGCGCAGCTGCGCCTGCTGCTCCATTGCCTGCAGCCGGAACTTGAGCTCATTGTTCTGCGTGGCCAGCCCCGCCGAGTCGCGCTGCGAGCGACGAAGAGAACGATGATTAAGCACACCAAGCTCTGAACTTTTGAACATTTCCCTCGGAATGCAGTACGCACGCGCGCGTTCATAATGATACCTGTAGCAGAGTGAGCTGTGCGGACAGCGTGGTGGCCTCCGTCTGCAGGATCTGCACCTTCTGCTCGAGCTCCGCGATGTACCGCATCCGCCGCTCCTTGGACCGCGCCGCCGACTGCCTGTTGGCGAGAACCCTGCAGCGCGCGCACCCAGCAGGAACGATCACGATCACGATCATGATGGAACAACATTGTGATTACTGATTAAGATATTTGCATTTGCGGTCTCTTCTGGATTGTAATTGAAGGAGGATCCGGCTATTATGGGATGATCGGATCCGGGCTTTTATGGTAGTGTCGTGGTAGGATAGAATTTGTTAGAAACGGTGCGGTGCCTACCTCTTGACGCGCTTGGGGTCGGCGAGGGCCATCTCGGCGAGCTTCTCGTCGGCCATGATCCGCTTCATCTCGGAGGGGGTAAACTCGCCGCCACCGAACTCGAGGCTGAACTTGCCGGGTTCCCCATTGGCGGCGGAGAAGCTCAGCTTCCCCATGATGCTGTCCATGGAATGGCTCCTGGCGTGCCTCGCCATGGGCGGCGGCGCCGCGGCGGGCTCTCCGGAGGCATTCCTCTTCTTCTTGCCACCGTCGCCGCCCCAAAGGAGGAACTGGCTGTCGGCGCCGCCGCCGTAGTCCTCGGACTCGTTCTCGCTGCTGTCGGCTCCGTTGGTGCGCATGCCGCTGCTCCCGCGGCTATCCCCGTCGGAGTTGTTCAGCCCGTCCATGCCCTCCATGCTCATGTACGCATTGAACAGGTCGTCGCCGGCGGCGGCAAGGCCCCAGCCTCCTCCGGCCTCCATCTTGGGCGACGGCGGCGGCAGCGGCTGGAAGTACCCGTAGGCGACGTCGCTGCGGGACCTGCGGTGTGCCTTGCGCGGTGGCAGCCCTCCTCCCTGCGCCTGCGCATGCGCGCGCCCCGCCGGCGCCGAGCTGTCGTCCATGCACATGTCGGAGGCGTGCAGAGAGTGGGAGGCGGGCGCGGGCGGCGGCGTCGGCGGCAGTCCCGGCGGCCGCTGCTTCTGGTGCTGCGCCGGTGGCAGCCGCGCCGGAGGCATGGACGCCTGGACGTGGTGGTGGTGCATCAGCCCGTGCCCGTTAGCGGTGTTCATGTCGACTGTCGAGTCGAGGAGGCCGGCGCGCGCACAAGCTGCTGCTGCTGCGTGTGGGTTGGGTGCGGTGGAGTGGCGGTGGCTGGCTCCCGATCGGGTTTGTGTCGCGCGGTGTTTCTACGCGGTCTGAAGGGTGGTGCGTGGTGGTATTTAATTGCTGGTTGCCGAACGCTGAAGAGAGAGAGGCCCATGTCTTTCCGGGATTCGCAGCGCGACGGCAGCACCGCAGCATCATCTTCGGTCTGCTCGCCCGCCCGGGGAGCTAACGTGCTGCCTGACAGGATTGCACGGACATTTGCGTAGTTCTAACAGATATGCCATCTTCTGAAAAAAAAGGGGACCCGAGCTGCGTGTACACAACGCAGCGTAGCGTAGAACAGCAGAATTCTGCTCTGCACAGGAAACACCATGGTGACATGTCAGAAGGATCAGTTATGTTTGTCAACTGTCATCACTGCGGTCTGCGGTACTACTGTACTATTTGTACTACTGCCTCCATTCAAAAGAAAATACAATTCTGATTTTGTTTTTAAATCAAACCATCTTTAAGTTTATCCAGATTTATGAAAAATTATCAATACTTAAGATACCAAATAAGTATCATTAAGCTCACAATAAATTGCACTTTTATATTCAGCCTGTTCGCTGGTTAGTTTCTTGGGCTGATAAGCCCGGCTGGTGCTGATTTGTTGTGAGAGAAAAATATTATACCATGGCTGATAAGCCCTAGCTGAAACCAACAAGCGAACAAGATGCTTATACTGTACCTATTTAATATCTTCTATATATTCTTTATATATTTAAGATAGTTTGGTTTAAGACAGACTATAATTTATATATTCTTTGGATTTGCAACTATGGTGAAAAGTAATACTACTATGCAGTTGCAAGCAGTAGCATCACTGATGTGTCCTAGTGTGATGTGTTGAGGAACAGTGACAAAGCTACAACGAATTAAAGAGAATGCATGTGCCTTATGATGCATAGACTCGTGCTCCAGTGGGTACACAGATGGTGAAATTTTAGAGAGAAAAAACATTTGTTTTCATAAATTTTGGGTGGTGGTGGGTACATTTGAATCGCCTAGAAATTACCTAGCTTCACCCCTGTCGATGAAACACTTGGCCATTAACACGACAAGTTTTCAACCCCCAAATACTCCCTCTAAGGACAACGATTATGTTGTTCGTGCTCCTTTCCCTGGTTATGAAGTGCTCCTCGATGAAGCTGATTAGAACAAACCGTCGATTTGGACCAAGGAATCTTGCGCCTTGATTCGGTCCATCAAGTGGGTACTCATTTGATAGTTTTAGCTCACTCCTTTATTTTATTTTGTCTTCCTTTTCTTGCTTGAAAATCATTATTACTTCATTTGAGCAAGTTGTAAATCGGCCCAATAATTTTGAGGAGACCGAACATACATGCCTCATGGTTTTTGTAGTGTGTAAAATTGACCATGTGGTTTAGGCTATACTAGCTGCACTAGTTGCAGCTGTTGCAAAAGTACTAGAGTTATTCATTCTGCACTAGTTGCAGCTGTTGCAAAGTACGTGCTATAGTTGTTCCTGCATCTGCAGTACTTTGCAGCGGCGGCTGCTGCATGCTGCATGCTCGAGTTCATCTTTTGGTGGTCCAATTTAATAAACCCTTGTTCAGTTCCCGTCCCAAAACTTTACATCCTGTTATATCGAATGTTGGACACGTGCATGGAGTATTAAATATAGACTAAAAATAACTAATTACATAGATTACGACTAATTTGGGAGACGAATCTTTTAAGCCTAATTGGTCCATGATTTGACAATAAAGTGCTACAATAACACATGTGCTGATGACGGGTTACTTAGGCTTAATAAATTCGTCTCGTGGTTTATTGATAGATTCTGTAATTTGTTTTTTTTATTAGTATCCCAAAATTTTACACCCCGGAACTAAACAATACCTAACTAGAGAAGAGTTTGCATCATGTTTTCGCTTTTTTCAGAGTTGGCTAGTCTAGTTTCCTTATTCGGCCGTGCATCCATGTTCTCTTCGAGTCTCTTTGAGCGACAGATCACGTGGCCATATGGTGCGGCAAAGCTCCAACATTAGGTTATCATCAGCACATTGGAAAACGCCGCCGAAATGCAATCATCCGGCATCCGGCTTTGACAGAAAAAATGAGCCGGGCTCCAAGCTCCAACCTCCAAAGCCAGGCCAGCACAGCACGTAGCTAGCGATGAAGATGTGTGTACCCAAACCGCACAAAGCCAGGCAACTGAACCCATTCACACTCGGCACCTCACTGCGTGGAGCCTGTTCGGGCGAACGTACCGTGGAAGCCACATTCAGCGGATCAGAGGAGCCGGCGGGGAGGGACGCAGGATTCTGGGCACGGCCGGTACAGGGAGGGGCACAGTACTTTCATCGTCCGTCGGAAAAAGGCAAGGGCACCAGAGGAAAAGGTGCCTTTGAGAAACCGTGTGGAGCCCACGACCGCAGGGGACGGTTACGCAGTACTCGATGAACAATGATTCTGCAGCTGGTTAAAACCTAAACCCTGGATGAAGCTTAATCCATGCCGCACCGGATGCAGATTTACTACTAGTACTACTGGAGCACACGGTGACCAAGCTCGTGACGCTTTGCTCAGGTGTTGGCACGCTCTGAAGTCTGAGAGTCTTGGGCCACGACGGTGATGGATACCGGTGTGTGTAGGACGCGCCGGCCGGGGCCGACGCGGACCAGGACAAATCGGACGTAGGCGAGGACGAACGCACCCTCCCCTCCGGTCCTCCTCCGCCCCGCGAATGGTGGAGCAACCGATGCTTGCTGCCCGGCCCTGGCCCCCGAGCGATCGAACGAATCATCAAGTCCAAAAGGCATAGGGCACGACAGCGACGCGTGCGCGCGGGCAATCGGACTCGTCGCCACAAATCAAGGCGGGCACGGCCACGGGCCACGGGGCGCTGTCGTTCGCGTACCGGACCAAGTCGGCAAGCCAAGCAGGTGCGCGTCCCTCCGTCCTCGCTGGGAAGTCCGCCATTTGTTTGTTTGGCCGAGGACGAGGGCGAAGACGGACGGGCGGAGCCGCGCGTACTACGTACTACGACCCCATCGCAGGGCCGTCTGTCCTCGTTAGTCCATTCCTCGAAGAGTCCGCGGCCCGTCCTGTCCCTTCGCTTCCCCCCTCACTCCCATCACATGGAGTGAGGACGGTAACTCGTTCTATTCGGCTGTCATTATAAACAATTATAGTATAGTATTTTTCTCTTTGAATAAATTAGTCAGCTGTCATTATAAGTAATTATGATATAGTATTTTTTTCTTCGAACAAATTAATCGTACAAATCAGCACAAACGAAACCTCTAGGGGGCACGGACGTGACTCGTGACGGGGACGGGGCCTGTTAAGGTCCGGGCGGCCGGACGACATCCTCGCGCCGATGGCGCGCTAATTTTTCCCGCCGCCACGCACCGGCCAGCCAAAAATTTTCGCGACGCTGCGCGTGTAGACTGTTTCCGCAGTGGGCCGCGTTGCTGCGTCCGGCCCACACCCTGCATCTCATGCACGGAAGCGAATCGCTGATAAGTCATTGCTGCGTCCGGCCCGCCCCGCGTCTCACGCACGGAAGCTCTATTTGACAGCTCGAGTACATCGATCACGTGAATACGTGATCACGCTCAAGAGTATACCATGTGCGCGCATGCACGGAAAGGAGGAAGAAAAATGTCGAAGGACAAAAGAAAAAATATTAGAAAATAATAGGAACAAAAATAGTATATGGGAGGGAATGAACGCAAGATCAAAAGATTAATAAAATAATCATTCCTCACCATCACACCATGTAGATAATTTGTTTTAGCTATGAAATATTTACAATACTATTATTACAAACCATATCGGACTGTTTGAGTCTAACAAAAAAATATTCCACCCCACAATAATAATGTTTTTAGACTAAAATATACCACGTGACATCACACGGAATATAGAAAAAATCTACATAAGAGATAAAAAAAACTAAATATACAAAAAGAATGGAATAAAAAATATAGTACTAAAATACATTGATAATCGTGAACATCCTATTTATAGATTGTGAACATTGTAAAATAATCATAGAACATTACATATATTCAACATGAAAAATGACAAAAATAAATCATAAAACATCACATATATACCACATGAATATTATAAAATAGATCATAGAACATCACATATATACTACGTGGACACCATATGTATATAATGTCGACGTCACAAAATGTATCTAGAACATCACGTATATACTAAATGAACATCATAAAATACACCTAGAACATCACATGTATATTACATGAACATCACAAAAAACATCATAGAACATCACATGTATACTACGTGAATATCATATGTATAATAAGTGAACATCATATGTATACATTAAGTTTCGGTCCGGTCGTTCGGACCATAATCTCGCACCGGCAGTTTTTCCCTCTATTTTTCGTCCATGTTGATTGTTGATATTGAGTAGAATATAATAATGCGCTCAAATATAGTACACGCATGCAGCCCATTTTATTGTATTGTTGCTTTATTATGATCCCCTCCTCTACATGCATGCATGTTCCTAAAAAGAAAGCGATTCGAAAAGCAAGCTCGTTTGTAACAAAGATAAATGCTTACATAAGCATTTGCATAAGTTTTTGAACGAACATCACATGTGTCTAATAAAATAAAGGAAAAAAGTAGAACATGAAAAAATGGAAACAAATAATTAATAACAGTAAAAATAATGAAGAGGAAAAAATGAAATGAAAAGAAATGAAAAGAACAAAAGGTTCAAATAAAAAAGGAAAAAACAAAATATACTGAGTGAACATCTCATGAGCACTATACTGAATACCAGAGATAATTATGAAACATCCTATTTATGCTATTATGAACATCATAAAATACATTATAAAACATTGGATGTATACTACATGAACATCATTAATAAAAAAAAAATTTAAAATTGAAATAAATAATTAAA